ATTACTAGTAATAATATTACTTTACCCAGTAACTAGTAGTGTAACTAATTAGTAATACATTTAACTAATAATATTACAGTTAACACCCCCAAAAATAGGAAGAAACTAGTTTGGAAAATGGAAATATTCACATTACTTTGATTTTAACAAACCAAACTGGATTTTAATCATGGACACAATTACCAATTTTTTGGAAAATTAATACAACTAGTAGTGTAACTAATTACTTTTGGCAGTGAGTAAGGAGTAAAGTAATAGTATTACATTTGAAAAGAGTAATTAGTAATAATTCTTTGAGTAACTAGCCCAACACTGATCCTGAATCAGTCACAAATGGTCTGATTTCGTAGCTGCTTAGTGATAAGATAACTGGTGACTTTAAAGTTACAGGATGGTCCGTCTGACTACTTTGCAAACTGGCCGCCAGCGTACAGAACTTTTAATTTAACACACAAACATTACTGTCTGTCACTGGTTTAATTATAATAAGAGAAAACACAGTTCAATGCACCTTCAATGGCGTCTCAGTGTTAGACTGAGACTGCTCTGGTTTGAATCAGTTTAATGGATTCTCAACAAGTGAAATGTAGGATTTAAGTGTTTTACAGTTACAAGATTGTGCTGTATTCAATCTCTTTTTTCTGGGGGCACTTGGTTTGAAAAATATATTTCAAAGGGGCGCTACCTTATTAAAAAGGTCACCCATAGAGTTGAAGGCTACTTTATCAGTGGAAAAATAGCAAAAGTTAAATTTTTTGGGCAGAAATAAATGATGGAAAAAGCTGATTTCCTGTCCAGTCAATAGGTTTCACTGTGGACGCCACAGCCACGTGTGATTTGGTTGTGTTATTGCAATCACAGCAGACCTTCCACTCAGCCCATAGTTCATATAGACCCAGCACCCTTCCTCTCACCAGGTAAAAGGAAATGGCTTTTCCACATGTGTTCAACATGAACTTATCCTAAAACAGGGTCCTGCTTTCTGAGAGTAATCAGTTGGCTCAACGCTGAAGCTTTCTTCTTCCTGTTAACACTCCACCGGCTGTGGACTCACTACTGTATGTCTGCTGTAGCTGAAGAACGTCACAACTCTTTATGAGCTCAATGATTTAAAGGAAACGGGCTCAGTGCTTAATTGAGTGTCTGTTCAACCAGTTTTGGTTCGGAGATTTCTGCCATCATTCCAGTACGCTAGCAGTGAATTCAGTTAGTTAATAAATTATATTTAAAAGTTAATGTAGCAATGTGTCTTTGTTTCTCTGGATAAACAACAGGACATCAATCATTTTTATAGTTTTGTCTGTGGAGGAAACTGGGCATTGTAATGTTTCCCCTGTTGTAAAGTGAACAGAAATCGATTATAAATCAATATAAAATGTGTCTGGTTTGTTTTAGAAATTTGGGTAAACAGACCCAATAAAACTACATCTGAGTCCCGTCCCAATGTACACAAGACACTACAACCTAGGGCATAACTACCCATTCTTTGGGTACCTAAACGTTCCCATCTGTCCCCAGCAATATACAGTAGAAAATATGTTACATGTCCTCTTGTTTTAGCCTTTTGTTGTCAATTTATTTCCTTTTGTTAAGTAAAACGTGAAGTGTGCGACTCCCCCATCGTGGTTGCTCGCAGTACCTTTTGTTCAGTGTTGCGAACTTGGTTACTTTTCAGACTCTCTTAGGAATTTTATTTCTAAAAAAAGCCACCAGCTACTACTGGAAACTACTGTCAGTGAACAGTAAACAGTAAGCAACCAAAACAAAACCAAGTGGAGGAGCAGCCACTATCAGACCTATAAATGTCAATCTAGTCCTCAAAACTCGGATATAAATGTGCCGTTTTTCATAAATATCATATAATCATACAACTGTAATCCAATTTGACCAGAACACTGATGTTGGTTTGTTGTTTATCTAGTTTTATACCAGTTTGTATATTGGTATATTTTGACCAATTTGCTAGTTAGCTACACTATTCTGGATCAGAATCAGAATCGGGTTTATTATTCTTTGTTACATTAATGCACTTTACTCTGATTTTATCTTTCCATGTTGCACATATCATTAAATGTCACACTGCTAACTTCCAGATTCCCCTGCACATTCCCATACAGCTCTTCAGTCTTTTATTCTAAGTATCTTTTTATTGTCTCTTTTTTTTAAATCATTTATATTCTTCTGTGTTTAATTGTTTTGCACCAACTTACCAAGTCAAATTCCTTATTCTATACCCTGATTCTGATTCTGACATTAAAGGAATTTGCCTTTATAAACTGATGCATTACAATAAACACAGAAAAATATATATAAAGATAAAAATAGAGAAAATAAAAGGAGAAAATATCCACAAATATATTAAAAAAGAGACAATGTGTACATTAAATACCGTACTTGAATACATTTATGAAAAGCAATACAGTTCGCAGGAATGTGCAAGTTGGCAGTTTATGAT